GGGTTATATAGGGGTTACATAGGTTTTGGGTTTAGGGCTTCTGGCCCTCAAGGGTACCACTGAATTTGAACTTTTCCCTTTGTTAGGATATGTCTTAACCAATAAGAATAAAGAGTGGCATTCACTGATGTTATAGGGACTATACGGATAATGGAAAGGAAAATGGAAACTGCAATGCAGGGTTTAGGGTTTAGGGCTTAGGCTTCGGACATATTTCCCAAAATTTTAGGAGTATCAAACGGAAAAGAAAATGGACCGTGAAGTGGAAACTGGGATCATATACTAGTTTATAGGGTTCAGGGTTTCCTAAAATTAGAGATACCTCTGGGGTGTCCCTAGAACAAGTACTGTGTTTGGGTCTATTTTGCGGGTAGGCCTGTGTATCGAAACTGCCATATGCATAACTGCATAACATTCGTCCATGAACATAGCAGATCTTGGAAGACAGGAAGCTTGGAGAACGACCCCGATACCGTTTGTCTCTATGAATGAAGCACTGGCTAAACTTTCGAAGTTCTGTCTTTTGGACAAACCATAGGGCAAGAATAAGTTTGGGAGACTTCCCTTGGAGCCTGAAAGGTCAGCATCAATCACCTGGGAGACGTGCTGGAGCACCATGGTCCAGTTAGGCCCAAGACCTTCCCAAAACCCCTTGGCTTGGTGTCTTCTTTGAGTTTGTAAGTTTCCACAATCCTGGAGAATCAGATGGGCCTTTCAGGGGTCCATTGTTTGGGAACGGCATGGTAAGGATCATAGTACATTGGGATCTATATTGGCACCCCTCCCTTTTGAAGGCTGGATAACCGGGATTCATCACTCAGAAATATTCTAAGTGATTTCATATTTGCCAAGATAGTTTCCTGTCGTTCTAGCAGACACTACAGGTACTTGGCTCAGCCACGAACTACTATGAGGGGCTTCTAGGCACCCCTAGCCACCAAAATTAGAACCCTATAATTGTCATGTGACTATTGCATGGTTCGAATCTTGGTGGTTGGGCCTACTCCCATAAGCTGTTCCCGGCACATGAACACTGAAACTTTGGCGAGCCAGCCACGATAAGAAGGACCCTGTAGGAATCATATGATAATCACAGGGTCCTGCTGTGTGGGGCTGGGTTTCCCAGAATCCTCTTATCTTTGCAGACCTTCGCTAGCACTTGACATAGTTTTCGGTTAGGCGTTTTTGTACTTATAAGCACAGAAAGTACATCTTTAGCAGGGTTGGCAAGGGCAGCCTAGGTATTCACTCTCTAACCCCTGGCTGAGGAATGTTTGTGCTTTAGGCATTCACAGGTTTATGCCTGTGTAATCCCATGTACTTACAGTTAAGGGTTTTCTTCCTGGAAGTTGAAGGTTTTCGGCTACTGAAACATAGGCGTTGAGGGTTTCTGCCTTCAGCTCCCGATACAGAGTCAGTTTCTTGACCTAGGCCGGTATCTTCATGCACTTTGGCATATCTTAGAACCAGGAGCCACATCTTCAAGAAAACAGCTACAAGATACTGTAGCAAGATGACACGACTTCCTCATGAGGATTGTGCGGTAGTTAGATGAGTAGATTGCCATATGAGCCGTAGTCTAAACTCCTTAGAGGGGTTATGTATATATAGGGGATAATATAGGGAACTATATGGGGTTTTTAAGGGGCATACTAGGAGTTTAGACTATAGCTCATATGAAGGTGATGAACGCGGAAAGGAAGGTTTGAGGATTTGGGATGTGTCTTACTAGTTGAGTATATTTCCAAACTTCAGGTACTTTACCTGCGGAATTAAAGGTTCTTGTTGTAAGCACCCCGCCAACCGGAGTAGGTTGGAATTTCTTCATTGTATTGCCCTGAACCCTCATGTGATCTCTACGAAGCCATGAACAATTTTTTTTACGACTCCCAAACCTACCCTAGCAAATGCCCCCACAATTCGGGAAAACCACCGGTCAAGGAATATACGTTTCAACCATTTTACCGATTTTCGTATAACTGAGGTTTAATACCTTACTTTAAAAGGCTGTGGAAGTCATGGGTGTAGGCACAAATGGGAGTAATCCCCTCCTCCTGATTACAAAGGGACCCTCCATGCCTCCAAACTCTTCAAGCATTCAAAGACTCCAGTGCCCCATCTGCTTGCAACAATAACCCAGAGGGTATGTAAGGATCCCAAGCCATTCGCTGCTAGGCCCTAAGCCCCACACCCTTTAAGGAGATTGGACCTGATTGTGATCGCTGTAGAAGTCTCTAAGATCATCACTCACTATATTTACTCCCCTACCCACCTCAGCACCAGCAAGAAACCTTTAACGCCAAGCTGCAAAGCCCAAAGTGTCAATCCCTGAACCCCGAACCCCAAAGCCCTCAGCCCTAAAC